GAGCGATGAGGGCTCCCCTCAGCCTCCTCTTCTCCAGGCTGAGCCCCCCCAGCTCCCCCAGCCGCTCCTCCCCAGCCTTGGGCTCCAGCCCCTGCCCCAGCCTCGCTGCCCTGCTCTGGCCACGCTCCAGCCCCTCCATGGCCTTCGTGGGGTGAGGGGCCCAACGCTGAACACAGGATTCGAGGTGCAGCCTCACCAGTGCCCAGTCCAGGGGGACGATCCCTGCCCGGGTCCTGCTGGCCACACTATTCCTGATACAAGCCAGGATGCCATTGGCCCTCTTGGCCACCTCGGCACACTGCTGGCTCATGTTCAGCCAGATGTCGACCAACACCCCCACGTCCTTTTCCTCCGGGCAGCTCCCAGCCACTCCTCCCCAAGCCTGTAGCGTTGCCTGGGGTTGTTGTGACCCAAGTGCAGGACCTGGGAGGACCTGGAAGATCAAGTCCCCTTTTATCCTCTTGATTTGATTATTTCAGAGACATGAAGGCTATTCCATGCTCATCACGTTGTAATTGAGATCTTTGTTATTTGGCAGCTTTCTTCTTTCTAGCAAATGTATGTCTAGACCGTCTATGCTTCTTCGCAAAGTCTCAGTCAGTTTCTCTTCCAGACCCGAGTCCAGCTTTGACATCTAATGCACAGTGAGTACTGAAAAGTGCCCTCAGAAGGGCAGCTGCCTCTGCTGCCTGTGTTGTGCTACCCCATCCCATCCTCCGCACTCTTGAAGTCATTCTGATGGAGAAGAAGCTGGAGAAGATGGTGGTGGTTTCTCTGAGGCAATGGCAGTCTTGTCTTTCCTGGTTAGACTCAGTCGTGCAGCGTACCAAGGCTATGGTCCCTGGTTGATGTCCTTTTGTTAAATCAAGCTGTGCTGACTGTGTAACATGCAGGTCTGATCTGCTACTAAGATGAAAACCTCTCTCTAGATGAGTCAGGGCTAAACTTGTCATGTCATCAGCTGATTACCTCTCAGTACTACCTGCTCATTTGTATGCAGCTTTTGCAGCGTCATACACTCAGGGTTATAGCTCGTTGGCCTGTGTATCTGTAAGGCCCCTTGTACTTCATCTCATTTATGTGAAACAAGTTTCCTTTTTTATCTCTTGCTGGTTAAATTATCGTGAGGTGTCTCTGCTCTGAGCCCAGTTGAAGGGTTTTCTGTCCAATGCCATCAGAAGTCTTGATGGGAGTTGAACTACCTTGGCTGTGATAGTGGAGGCAAAACTGAGCTGAGAGAAAAGTACGATTGTGTGACTTCTATCAATACAGTGTGTTGGTAAAAGAAATAGAAAAGAATGGGGTGAATAGAGCAGCTACCATCTGTTTGAATTTTGCTCTGACTTTATTTCGATCAAGTCCGTGGGTAGCCAAGGAGAGGGGGTAAATGGCACGTTAACGAAGCGGGCAGATGCTGGTAAACTGTGGTGACTGTGAGCACAGTGAGGGCAGCGAAGGAACACAAAAGGCTTGGCAAAGGGAGATGAGGCATAAGGAGCTAGCGTGGCCAGCAGAGTCCCCTTGGCGAAGGGCACATGCAGACATCTGTGGGAGATCAGCTGAGGCACAGCCAAGGAGAAGCCGGTGGCACTTGCGAAGCAGGAATGTAGAAGGAAACCACTGAGATAATAGGCAAAAAAATTAGTCTGAAGTTTGCAGTGTAATTGCCTGGAAAACCCCCGTCACACATTGTACTGTGCAGGCGTCGTTGCCTTATTAGCTGTCGCTAGAAAACTGTGATCAAGCGTCCGCATTTGTCTGCTCTTAGCTTGGCCTGCAGTGTCCGAGAGCAGCGGGAGTGGAACGGTAGTGACAGAACTGCAGGTTCAGCCTGGGCCGGGCAGCAACGTTTTTGAGCGGCTCTGTGCTCCTTGATTGTGCTTCTGACCTGCGAGGAGACGTCTGAGTATCGCCTGTTCTCTGGGAGCTCTGGCACTTGGGATTTTACCCTCCTACCTCATCTGCTTGAGGAAGGAGGAGAGTGAGGTTAGAGTCACTGCAGCACCTTTAAACTCGGGTTCTTATTCTGAGTGATGCTATTTTCACCGTGGAACAAGGTGGGATGGAGTGTGGCAGTGCTTCTCACTGGCTCCATGTTAGCCATTTGCAGTTTGGGTCTTAGGAAGTGCTTGGTACTAATTTTTTGCGCCTGTGGTTTGCAAGCTAAGGGTGAAGTGTTGGTTCGGATTTTAAGGCAGACAGATCAGCTTCGGGCATTGGCAGAGAGTTGAATGGAGAGAATGACAGATGGGCTAACATGCTCTTGGAGCTTTTGAACTAGTTACAGACTAGATTTTATTGTCATATTTCAGCATTTTTTTGTGTAAATCACCATGTTCTCTCATTGATAATTTACCTGACAACTTGCTCGTTATTTTTTCTACATGGAATGACTGCTGATGCACAAGAGATGCTTCAAAGTCTTTCCCGAGGGTGTAGGTGCCTTGTTTGTGAATGGTGGTGATGATGCCTTGCAAGGACAGACCTTTCCATGGGAAACCTTGGAGTCCCAGAAGTCTTGGTGGAAGAGATCTTGGAAGTCTCGAGCCCAGCCGTCCGCTCAAAGCGGGGCTGTTGCCAGTGCTACGTGAGATCAGCTGTGGCTTTGGCTGAGCCTTAACTACCTCTAAGAGGGAGTGCAGGAGTGGCTCAGCAGTGCTCTTGCAGCTGCATAGCCTGATGCTAGAATCATAGAATCATTTAGGTTGGAAAAGACCCTTGAGATCATCCAACTGTAAACCCAGCACTGCCAAGCCCACCACTAAACCATGTCCCTAAGCTCCACATCTACACGTCTTTTAAATACCTCCAGGGATGGGGACTCAGTCGCTTCCCTGAAGTTGCCACGCTCCAGCTCCCAACTTTACATGTGTGTGTTGCCCTAGGACCAAGTCCTCCTTTTTGCCCAGACAGAAAGGTAGTGGGTGCAAGGAACATCCATGAGGTGCTTGTCCTCCTGAATGGGGGAACCATGATGGTCATCCATTTCTTCTTTATAGTGGGGATTGTGTGCTAATTACACAGCTCCCCCAAGCGACAGAGCCTCTGCGTGACCATCTCTGGGGGTGCTTAGGCATTGAGGAAGACAGTCTGGGCAACTGCCACCCCGGGCTGGTATCTAAAGGTACAGCCTGGTACTAGACAGGCAAGAACCTGGAAACAGAAAAGTTTCAGCACTCTATGTTAGCCTGTAATGACGCAGAAGGTTAAACCTCGCTTCTTGCACAGCTCCGGCTGTGCTGCTCCAAAGCATTTTGCATTTGGCTGTGCTGAAATTTAGTCCCAGGGAGATTAAATTACTCTTTCTTCATCGTTCATATCGATCCCCTGTTGCTGGCTGTGGATGACAAATGGACTTCCCACTCCTTCCAGCTCTAGTCGCTCCGGGAGGTATATTGTAGCTTTGTTAATATTTTCCCTTTTGGGAGGAGGTGTGTAAAACCAGTAGGGGAAAATCCTGGCTGCACAGCTTGGGATATGCTGGTGTATCGGCTAGCAAAGCAGAAGGTTGTTTTGGAGGTCAAAGCCATTTTCCACCTAGATGATTAATGGCTGTTCTGAACGTGGCCTTTTGTGGCAGCTTGAACTGGAGAGGGATGATCTGAGGTTGAGCACCTCTGAAGGAAGAGGACAGTGGATGTGATGCTTTGGTATGGAGAGTCTTCCCTGTTGCAGCAAGTCTTCATCTCCTCCCCCAGGAGATGCTGGTGCGCTTGAAGGCTGAGAGTGCTTGGCTGCTGGGTTTTGTTGGCTCGGCTTGCCAAGGAGGTGGGTGGCTGTTCCATCTCACTGTTTGCAAGCCTCCACCCTGGACTGCCCATTGGCAAATATCAGCTTGATTGTGGTGCTGCAGACCTTGGAGAGATTGTTCTACAAGCCTGGGGAAAATGGATGGCTGGGGAAAAGCTGGTATTAGCTCTCTTCGGTCACAGGTCTGTCGAGTACAGGAGAACAAGCACAGCAGCAGGATGTTACAAGTGTCCTGGCAATAGGAGACTGGAGATTGTATTTACTGTATTCCAGGGAATGCATGCCTTGACCAAGGATTCCTTTCCTGTGTGGGTTGGAAGCAGAAAGCTTTTCCGTGGTTGGAATATTCATGGGCTTGCTCTCTTATGTAGGCCTTGATGTGTGATAAGGGTTGAGCTCATGCTGCCTGGTTGATTCTTAATATATTTCAGTAAAATCTCAGTCATCCATGGGACCTGAATCCATCAGACAACCAGGAACTGCTTTTGTGGGCTGTTGTGGGGCTCTCTCAAATAAGGTTGTCCAGTAACCCAAATACTGACATAGTTGGTGTTTGAGAATTTAGGGTTAAGGTAGGTGGAATGGGTAATAGCATTAACATCTAAGCTGTGATAGCTCACAGATAGGGGCATTCAGAAGCAGAGTAGAAGGCTGGGGTGATGGCTGGGACTGGGGTGGAGATGCCTTCTTCCCTGGGCTGCCAGAAGGGGTTTAACTCAGGGTGGTTAGAGACAGTGATCCAGTTCCTGTGTGCGTCACAGAAACAAGGCCGAGTTTAATGCAGGCGCCTTTCAATTTTTTTCAGTTTTAACAGAGAAGCTAAAGACTAAAATAGTCCTGGGCTTGTAGTCGAACTCACTTTTCCCTTTGGCCAGGGGAAAACTGAGGTGTGTTAAGCAGGAAGCCCCCACTGCTATTGCAGCATGTTTAAATTGGTGTCACCTGAAGACGAGGGAAAGGCAGCTGCAGGGAAACAGCAGTATATTGAACTGTTCCTTCTTTCCTTGGCCTTTAACCATTACCCATCTCTTTCTTTCTCTCCTTTGCTGCCTTCTGTGATGCTTGGATATGCAGAGCGGCAAGGGCTTTTGGAGAATATCTTTCACAAAACCATCCCGAAGGTAGAAACGGCTCAGGTAAGAGAACTGACATACCTTGTTTATATCTGTGCGTGCATGCACCGATTTATTAATAGGCCTTAGAATAAAAGTGCATTTATTTATCATATGAAGGGTTAGGTGAGATCTCGGCAGCAGAGAGGCAGGAGGAGTTGCCCTCTGGGTCTGTGAAGCCCTTGAGGAGAAGAGGCAGTTTGGGGACTCAAGGGCTGGGTGGGCTGTGCGGACAAGGTCAGTGTTAGTGGACAAGTGCCCTGTCATAAAGTCACCCCTAGAGCTGATGTCTGTGGAAGAAGTTTCAGCTGGGAGGTGAAAGACTGCACTGCACAAGGCTTCTGCACTGGTTTGTTACTCCCAGGTCTTGCTTTCACTGGGGAATAAAAAAAAGGTGAGTTATAGTGTGTTAACTGACGTGCTTAGTGTATGTGCAGCAACCTGTCTTTGCTGGCAAAGGTAACCTCTGGATTTATTCCCAGGGTTTGCTTCAACAGGGGTTAAAATGAGATTTGCCTTGTCTAGTTGAGGACACCAGCATGTGCTAGCTAATATGTTAGTTTTTTAGACACAGATATTGTCCCTGTCAGCTTATGACGAGTTCTGCTTGATGGGCAAGAGAGCACAAGAGAAACTCACTTGACTTCTAACAGGGCTGTGTCTTCTCTGTGAGGAAAGAAAACATTGTGCGGACAATACATTGGCTACAAAACCTGTAGAAGATCCTGTGGAATCCACAGAAAATCAGTGTGAACAAGCAGCAGGTTGTCCTGTAGCGTTGAACTGTTTTGCAGGGGATAGTTATTAAATAGAATGTAATGTAGAGTGATGTTATCATTCTTTGTAAACTCCAAGTGTGTGTGTTTAAACCTTTACAGGCAGGAAATGCCTCTTGCTAAAAGACCAAGCCTAATCACACTGGTCTTAGACAGACAGCTGAATGAGTCCCTGCCTTTCTTCTTGGATCTGTTCTAATGACCTTCAAGTTGTCCTTGGCTGAATTGTGCTAACTTTGTGAATGGAAGGGCTTTAAAACAATCTACTGCTGTTCTCGTTGTTTTTTTTTTCAGGCGTGAGAAACGCCAGTGACACATTAGTTACAATATTTTGTCTAAGAACATGGTGCTAGGAAGGGAAGGGTAGAAAAAGGCTGGGGTTTAATGCAGCTGAGATGAAGCGTCTGTGAGGCAGAGAGAAGGAAGGGGTTGGACAGACAGTGCAGAGACAGGCCAGGCAGGTCTGAGGAGGCTTCCCAGAATGGCGAAACATCCTTTATCATGGCCATTTTTGTAGCCGCTTCTGTCAGCGGGCGTCTTTGCTGGTCCTTTTCTGCAGTCCCCAACCCCAGTTTCCAGCAGGGAGAAGCGTTGTCTCCTGCTCACTTTGTAGTGCCCTCATAGTGCGTGTGGGGTCCCATTCAGGCCAGAGAGAGAATCCCTGGTGGAGATGAGGGGAAATGGCGGATCTGTTCAGGTGCCTGAGACCTGGGGAGCCCTGGTCAAAGCCAAGGAGTAGGAGCCTCTCTGATGCGCACTTACAGAGCTGTTGTTTTACTCAGCCTTATGGGTGCTCCTACTTGCTCGTTCCTCTCTCTGGCTGTAGGTAAGGAGAACACAGAAACGGAGCTGATGTGACTCTTGGATAATGAGCCACTGTCAGGCTCCCCAGACCAGCACTTAAGCCCTCTCTGTGCTTGTAACATATCCGTAAGCTTTCCAGGGAAGCCTTCTCATACCCACTGCCCCCTTAGGGTATCAGGCTTGAGATTGTATTTGAATTCAAGCAAATTTAGTTGCCACAGATAAGAATCAAGCAGTGAGAGGTACATATGGATATACCACAATTCTTATGGGATCCTTACATATTGACTTGGAAATAAATAAAGTTCCCTAGAAATTACTCTAAATGTTTATAGAAGAGGGGAAAAAAAGAATCATCATTTTTTAAGTCATCTTTTGCAATTCTGCAGTGTATAATTTAACACAGTCTGTAACATTTTGTTATAAATAACCATGGTAGGAAGGTTGCTATCCTATAAAAATGTTGAGAGTAGAAAATTTGGCTCCCTTTTGTTCGTCCCAGTAGTCCAATAACAGAGAAGTCAACTCCTTCCTTCCTGCAGAAATTCTGTATATCTCGGTATTGCTTTTGCAAGGTTCTGAACTTCACCTTAGGCTCAGCAGAGTGCTTAAGGTGGATGATTAGCTTTCATCCAGTGACTCCAGTGAAACAAAGGTAGGGCCTCTTCTGCATAAGTTGAAGATGTAGCACATATATAGAAGTACCTGAATCTGCTCCAACTCTTCAGCTTGGCTGAAGAGAGCAGGGAGAGGCAGTGTTATGGCTGTACAAGCCCACCAGTATCCTGTAGTTAAATTCCTACTTGCATGTGATGGTGGCTTAGGTCCAAAAAGCTCAGCACCCTGAAGAATTGAGTCCTCGGTGCATGTGTGGCTCTGTTCATAGCACTCTGGGCTTTGACCATGAGTGTTTTTTCCTGGTGGGATAGGCCTGCTTTCCGCTGTAGTAACCCCAGCTGTACATGTGGATGCTCCCTGCACTGCCAGCAGACTGCAGCTGGGATTAAGGCTCTAGCCTAAATGTGAGTGGAAGGAGGCAGGCCTTGACTTCAGTAGTTTATAGTCCAGAAAAAAAAAAAGTTTAAGAAAGCTTTAAAGTCATTGATGAATGCAGTGAGGAAAAAGGGCTGTGGTCTTTGAGCAGCAGGAAGGTGGCAGAGCCATCAGTGGGACAGTAGAGGCCTAGATGGAGGAGGGAATGGCAGGATGCTCCTCTTCTGAGGATCCAGGAGCTAGAACCTTCCTGTCTCCCTGCAGAGGACAATCCTCATGCAGAAAATGAGGTGGGTGTGAATCTTTGGGATGTCAGTTCTTTGCTGCTTTACCTGCTAATTCACCTCCTTGGCGGAAGGGTGGAGCTCTGTAGCTCCCCAGGCAGACACAGGACACCCACCATCTGGATGGAGATGCCGAGTGTGCAGAGACTGCCCCAACTTACTCAATTTCTGCTGCTCTTGCTCTCTGAAGATCGTCCATTTTGGTTTGACTTTTTTTATCTTTAAAGTCCCTTGACTCGGAGGACAGGAGGTGGTATAACGGCTTTTGCACCCCACCTCTTGCTTCACATTCCACAACTGATCAAAGAGCTTATTCTTTGGTGGTAACTTTTACACCCCAGAATCTATTTCTGGTGGCTTCTCTGGAGCGCTTGTGTGTACGTGTGTGGCAGAATGGCTTTGAGATACTGGGGAGTGGTAATGAAGAACTACAGAGGGATTGTATATCAGCAGGATGGGCCAGCTGCCACGTCCGAGCATTTTGATGAGAGGTGAGTTATTTGCAAGGCTTTGTTTACCTTCTGTTTTCAATAAAATTGCAGTCTGTCCGTGCTCTGCTTCCTTCACTAGGGCAGTGGGTACATCAGCAGGAGATAAAGAGGATTGCAGGGTACTGCAGGGTGTACATGTAGTGAGAAAAAGGTGAGGGAGAGTGTATGTTACTGGTTACAACTTCTGATTCTTCTTGATGTGAGGCCTGAGAACTTCATGGCTCAGAAATATTGTGTGACTATCCCTATGCAACTCTTCGATGTTGTATTCTGGAGGGGGTTCTTCCAGGTGACTGGGGAGGTACGTTTACCTCTTCTCCCCTGTTGCTTGGCTGAGAGTGCACTGACCCTGTTCTGTGAGGTTACAGCAGGGATAATGGCAATACAGATTTGTCTTCTCTTTGCTTCCCTTTTGGAACAGGGAAGGTGCCTGGTGATGGGGTATGAGTTGCTGGCAGAGGATGAAGGGATTGTCCCCTTGGGATCACTCAGATTTTTTTCTCCTGATCTTCAAGATGTTGTGAGGCATTAGAAAAAAGGGAGGGTTGGGCTCTGCTGCAGCTGGCAGGACGCAGATCTGTTAAGGGAGCTGGTGCTGAGGTGGTAATGCATCTCTTGCTCTCTTACTGCCTCTGTTCATTGCTGGCTTATTCATTTCAGGCTGAAGATCTGGGAAGGCTCCCAAGAAGAGCACTCTCCCATGTTCAGCGTTCATCCTGACTGCAAGGCTGTTGCCAGAGCCCTTGCCGACTCTTGTGGCTTTCTGGTACCTTCCAAAGACTTTTTGTCCTGTCTGTGGCATGGCTTTAGTGTAGGAGTGGGTGTCCCTTGGGACAGACCTAGAAGAACGACAGGGAAAAGTATTGAAATGTTGTGAAAGGGAAGTGCAAAAAGGCTGCAGAGAGTAAAACATAGAAGAAATAATCACTTGGAGTCTCGCCAGAGCTCGTGGGATAAGGAGTTTTGGACATTCCCAGAGTCCCCTTCTCCCAGCTTAGGTGTCAGAGACCCCACACTGAGATACTGCTTTAGATTTCTTTACCTCCATATACTGGAACTGTGAGAGGAAGAAGATACGCAGGGCATGGGGCAGTGAAATGAAAAATGACAGCAAGTGGAGCATTTGAGAAACTTCCTCCTTTCTGGGGGAGCAGTGATGCATCCCGGTGAGATGGGATTCGGACACAAGGATCCTTTGCTGAGGAAAGGAAGGGGTTATGCTGGGTTTTTTCCTGATACTTCTATATCAGGCAATTTCTATTTTGCTCGGTTAGGTTATTTGGCGGGCAGCTACTGCTGCTGCTGGAGTGCTGGGGCTGTCGCTGCAGGATGCAGCGCTGGTGTGCCTGCGGCAGGCTGGCTGCTCTGGGCAAGCTGCGCGTCAAAGGCTCTGGAAGCAAGAGAGAGGGAAAGATCCCAGCAAGTGTAATGTGTGCTTGGTGCTGCAAAGATGATGGGCCTTGGGCCAACACTGCCTAGCAGGTCTTGACCCAAATTCGCTGTGGTTATTGCAGAAACAGCATGGCTACTCTGACTGGTTTGCATCAGCACAAACTAAAGGGGATAGTTACCTGAAACTGGAAGAAGATTCTTTTTAAGCTCAAAAGAAGTCCTCTTCGCTTCTTTCCTTTGTTCTTGAATGATGTTTCAGCCATCAGTGAAAATACTGAGCGTGT